CTGTAGACTAGTTTAGAGAGAATTTCATCTTAGTAACAAGTCTTTAAATCTGTAAACAACAAAATATTATGTTTTTATTTGGGTCTTCATGAATTTCTCTCAACAGGGTTAGTTTTTTAGTTGTAGTTTTATAGGAATCTTGTACATACTTTGATAAAATTGTCTCTGAAGCATTATATATGCTGCTTTTTTAAAGATTTATAAAGAGTTACACAGAGAGAGGAGAGGCAGAGAGAGAGTTCTTCCATCTGTTGGTTCACTCCCCAATTGGCTGCAGTGGCCGGAGCTGTGCCGTTCCAAAGCCAGGAGCTTCTTTCGGGTCTCCCACATGGGTGTAGGGGCCCAAGGACTCGGGCCATTTTCCATTGCTTTCTTAGGCCATAGTAGAGAGCTGGATCAGAAGTGGAGCAGCCAGGTCTTGAACTGGTGCCCATATGGGATGCCGGTGCTTCAGGCCATAGTGTTAACCCACTGCGCCACAGTGCTGGCCCCTGTATATACTATTTATAATAGGATTAAAAGATCTTTTATTTTCTGGTTGTTGCTAATATACAATAAAAATGGTTTTGGGGTTTTGTATCCTTTAATTTTGCTAAATTCACTTATTTCTGATAGTTGTTATGGGGTTTACCTTATATGTGATTGTATTATCTACAGTTGAAGTGTTTAGTGTTCAGTGTACCTTTCTTGTGTAATCCATAGTTCTAAGACCTGTTGGCGAGGGAGAGTTTTTGTGTATATCAGTATGCCAGCTGATAAATTGATTGGGAATGTTACAAACAACCTGTATCAGTAGTCACCAAGATTTAAGTACTGATCAAAAACATGAATGCTAAACTAATAAATGAAAAGTTGAGAGGAAACTTATTATGGGTAGATCACATTGGCACTGTCTGATGCCACTCAGCAATTTTAATACTGTTATGAAGTAAGATAGCCAGACTGAGTGTGTCCACCTGTGTGATATGATAGAACATTCCAGCAGGTCTTTTTGATACTTAACATTTCTCTTACTCATATTTTTCAGTTTACCTTAACACATGGAGAATATGAGAAGTCTTCAGAAATATGTTTCAAATACATTTTGCACTAAAACAGACTTCTAATTCCATTTTTCCTTGAAATTTTTTAAAGATTTATTTATTTGAAAGAGTTACAGTGCTAGAGGTAGAGACAGATCTTACATCTGCTGGCTCACTTCCCAGGCGACTGCAACAGCCAGGAATAGGCCAGGCTGAAGTCAGGAGCTGTGAGCTGCTTCTGGGTCTTTCATGAGGATAGCAGGGGTCCAGATACCTGGGCTGCCAGCAGGGAGCTGGATCAGAAGTGGAGCAAACAGGACTCAAACTGGAGTCCATATGGGATAGTGGCATCTCAGCCAGTTAACCCCCCGTGCTACAATGCTGGTCCCCTTGAAATTTTTTAAGTCCTTTATACTTTTAATGTCTTTGTTGGTTTCCTCATTCTAGATCTGCTATTACTGATTGATTTTTCTTTTGGTTATGGATTATCATTTCCTGTTTCTTTCCATGTCTGTTTTCTTTTGTGTTTTTTATGAATATCACACATTGTGAATTTTGGGTTGTTGAATTTGAGCTTTTACTTCGTGTGTGTGTGTGTGTGTGTGTGTGTGTGTTTTACTTGAAAGGCAAAATTGAAGAGAGAGAGAAGGAGAGACAGATCTTCCATCTTATGGTTCGTGCTCCAAATGGTCACAACTGCTAGAACTGAGCCAAGTGGAAATGAGGAGCCAGGCTTCTTCCTGGTCTCCCACTTAGAGTTGCAAAGGTCCAAGTACTTGGTCCCTCCTCTGCTGCTTCCCAGGGACATTAGCAGAGAACTGGATCAGGAGTGGAGTGGCTGGGGCTAGAAATGGTGGTGCCTGTATGGGATGCTGTGCCACAACGATGGCCCTTGTTGTATTTCAACACAAATTAGGCTGTGTTCTAGCATGTAGTCTAGCTAATTGGAAACTGATTATTTTGGGCCTTATCTTTTACATTTGGTTGAGTAAGTCCAACACTACTTGATTGTAGGACTAGTATCACATTGCTGAGAATGCTGGTTCATGCTTCAGCCATTGGGTAGCTTTTCTGCCACTCTGGCTCTCAGGTTTGTTCTCACACAGAGTCAAGAGGACTTTTCTGAAGAACTCAAACACATAATCACACACACATATGCATATCCTTATCCATGTTCTTCTCTGCTCTCTGCCTTGTTTCTCTGCCCTTCCTTCTGTTATTCTACCCTATAAATTTTAAGCATCTTTCCCCCCTATCTCACACCTTAGCATTTTCTCTGTCTCTTCTGCTCAGTGAGGTTGTCAGACGGTTGGGCTTCTTCATTCTTGCTTAGTGAAATAGAGATTTCCTGTAGGTACTAAAATGGCCCATTAAACAGGTGATCTTTTGCCTTTTCCCAGTGATCATATCTTAAAATTGTTTTGTGTATTTTGTCTGGATTTCTGGTTTAAGTGAGAAAGTAAATTAGGTTACTGTCCTTTAAGCTTGCATTGAAGCTAGCTTTTAGAATTTTGCTTTTACATATGTTTTAGATAATGTAAGAGTTTGGGAAAACAAAATTTTCTTCTACTTAAGAAAAGGGTGATTTTTTGCTTATGTTGATAAATAATTTTATTTGCATTTTGATTAGAATTTCTAAGCTACTATTTGTAAACCCTTAAACCGTGTGGAAAATCTTTTTTTTTTTTTAATGCTGTTGAACCTTTTTAAGAAGGACTTGCTTGTTACTTTATTTAAGCATTAGCGTATAGTTCATCAGTAAAATTGTGTCATTTTCTCTGTAAATGACTTACATATATATTTATTTATTTTAAGATTTACTTACTTATTTGAAAGTCAGAAGGAAAGGCAGACAGAGATGGAGGGAGAGAGAGAGAGAGAGAGGGGTCTTCCATACAATGGTTCACCCTTCAATTGGCCACAACGGCCGGGGCTGTGCCCATCTGAAGCCAGGAGCCAGGAGCCTTTTCTGGGTCTCCTACGTGAGTGCAGGGGCCCAAGGACGTCGGCCATCCTCTACTGATTTCCCATACCATAGCAAAGAGCTGTATTGGAAGTGGAGCATCCTTTTTTTTTTTTTTTTAAACAGGCAGAGTGGACAGTGAGAGAGAGACAGAGAGAAAGGTCTTCCTTTGCCGTTGGTTCACCCTCCAATGGCCGCTGCGGCTGGCGCACCACGCTGATCAGAAGCCAGGAGCCAGGTGCCCCTCCTGGTCTCCCCTGCGGGGACAGGGCCCAAGGACTTGGGCCATCCTCCACTGCCTTCCCGGGCCACAGCAGAGTGCTGGACTGGAAGAGGAGCAACCGGGACAGAATCCAGCACCCCAACCGGGACTAGAACCTGGTGTGCCGGCGCCGCAGGCAGAGGATTAGCCAATTGAGCCACAGCGCCGACCGGAAGTGGAGCATCCTTGACTTGAACTGGCACCCATATCGGACGCTGGCACTGCAGGTGGTGGTTTGGCTCAATACACCGCTCAGTGCACCAGCCCTAACTTACGTATTTTTTAAGTTTCTTTTTTGTTACTTTATATTTTATTTACATTATTAGTGGGTACCCGCTCTCCTGGTTTAATTATTTTAGAGTAGTAGTTTATTAATTTGTCATAGTCACAGATTTTCAAATGTTGTGTTAATTTATGTAGCTTTTTTTTTTTTTTTGAAAGTGGATAGAGAGAGAGACAGAGAGAAAGGTCTTCCTTTGCCGTTGGTTCACCCTCCAATGGCCACCACGGCTGGCGGCTGGCGCGCTGCGGCCGGCACACCGCGCTGATCTGAAGGCAGGAGCCAGGTGCTTCTCCTGGTCTCCCATGGGGTGCAGGGCCCAAGCACTTGGGCCATCCTCCACTGCCTTCCCGGGCTATAGCAGAGAGCTGGCCTGGAAGAGGGGCAACCGGGACAGAATCCGGCGCCCTGACCAGGACTAGAACCCTGTGTGCCTGTGCCGCAGGTGGAGGATTAGCCTATTGAGCCGCGGCGCCAGCCTATGTAGCTTTATTAATTTATTCTGCATATAATTATGTTAATATTTTGTGTGTCATACCATTAGAAGGTATTTTTTCTATTCCACTTTTTTAAAGTTTATCTTTTGAATTGAAAATTTGGCTTTTCCTTTGTCATTGTTTTCTTTTGATTCGTTCAGCAGTCTTTCTCTCAGACCAAGAATATAGCAATAACTTTCTTTTAATATTGATCCTTCTGTATTTTTTCTAAAGAGGTAGCCAGTGAATCTAACATTTTTTTAAAGAAATCATCTTTGTGCCTTAACTACATTTCTATACTTAAATATTAGCATTTTAAGGTTTTTAAAAAATCTGTTGTCTAATACTGCTCAAAATAGTAAACTACTTTTAAAAAATGATAATCCTGGGTATATATTTTCATGTAATTCAGTATATATTGGCTAGTGCTCAAAGTTGAAATTGGGCAGAGGGGCCGGTGCTGTGGCATAGCAAGTAGAGCTGTTGCCAGCAGTGTTGGCATCCCATATGGGCACCAGTTCGAGTCCTGGCTGCTCCACTTCTGAGCCAGCTCTTTGCTATGGTCTGGGAAAGCAGTAGAAGATGGCCCAAGTCCCTGGGCCCCTGCACCCACATGGGAGAACCGGAAGAAGCTCTTGGCTTTGGAACAGTGCAGCTCTGACCATTGTGGTTCGTTGGTCTCCCTCCCTCCCTCTCTCCCTCACTCGCGCACTCTCTCTCTCCTCTCTGTGTAACTGACTTTTAAATAAATAAATAAATATTTTTTAAAAAAGAAATTGGGCAGATAGTTTTTATAATTAAGTTTAGGGAGTAAAGCTAGCAATTTAAAGGGAATTTTCATATAGAACTTTGTTAGTCTATTGTGTATGGGCAGTTTTTAAAAGGGGGTGTTTTAGATTTTGTAAAATTTCTTTAATCTAGATTTTTGTTGTTTGGATTTTCCTATATTGATAAGTTAATAATCTTTGCTAAGTAAATTGTTTTTCTATTTTTATAGTTTTGGTAAGCAGTTTGGAGGAAAAAGAGGATGTGATTGTCTTGTATTAGAGCCTTCAGAAATGATTGTGGTAAGAACTTCAAAGAATACTTAATTGTTGTTTGATATGCTTCGGTTTCAACTTCAAATGTAGTAGCCTTTACACACTGAAGGAAGTTCCATTACCATGACCTTATACAGATTCTATTCAGTAGCATTAAAGCATAAGCTAAATTTACACATTTTCGTCTCAAAACTTTCTGGTCTCTTTGAAATAATGTGAAACACACACACACAAAATCCCAAGTCTCATGATTTCTTTTATTTCTTGTACAAGAAAAGTAAAATATTTTTAAAAAGAGATCCTGACTTTTCAAGTGTTTTTTCCTTTCCTTTTAGGTTTAGTAATTATACATGGAACATCCATGATCTGTATACCATAGTATAGGGAAAGAGGTAGAGAAAGAAGAAATACAATTAGACCCAAATTAAAAATGGTCTGTATCTTAGTATTTTTACTTGTTTTATTGTTTGGGATCAGTTTTCATTCAAAGATACTTTTGCAGCAGTGATACCCCATATGGGCACAGGTTAGATGCCAGGCTGCGCCACTTTTGATCTAGCTCCCTGCTAATGCTCCTGCGAAAGCAGTGTAAGATGGCCCAGGTGCTTGGGCCCCTGCACCTCTGTGGGAGGCCCTCATGAAGCTCCTAGCTCCTGCCTTCGGGTGGGCCCAGCTGCAGCTGTTGTGGCTATGTGAACCAGTGGACTGAAGATCTCTGTGTCTCTTTTCCTCTCTGTAACTTTTTCAAATAAATAAATAAATCTTTAAAAAAATACTTCTTTGCATTTTTATTTTAAGAGAACTGGGTAGCTGATGTAAGTTTAGAGTATCTGATTTTGTGTTTAAGCATTTGAAGAATCAAGAACACAGTTCGCTTTTACCTTCTGAGTTGACCTTACTACAAAATAGCCTAGACTGAATGGACTCACTATCCTCCTAGCATCTCACTTAGATGACGTTTTTGTCATTTGATGCTGCTACTGTCAGGTGAACATCTTCAGGTAGTTTGTTTATTCTTCCCCAGATCCAGGCAGCATTGGTTTCCTCATTTAATTGTCAGTTGAGGTCATGTTTCTCATACTTTATGGGAAAAAAATAAGTGCATTAATTTTCTCTTACACATTGTGTTTTAATACTTCATTATATATTTGACCTTGCTTTTATTTATAAAGACTAAGAAAAGGAAAAACTATGAAATCACTTGAAGTATAAAATGTATGGGCTCATCTTGCACTATTCTTGCACCAAATCTAAGATTGTTAGTCTCCTGTCTAAGGAGACCTACTTGTTTTTGTTTTATAACATCTAGCTGCTGGTTGTACGCATTTTTCTGTCTGTTTCATTGCTTCTAGGACCTGTCAGTGAACAGAGCTAGGAAATGTTTGTCATGTAGTACTACAAGAATGTGTGACTCCAACAAAAATATGACTTTGTTACATTAAAGAGTACTGTTTTGATTTGCCAAAGTGTTCTTAGTAAAGGTACTCCCTTCCTTGATTTGTACTCTGTGATTTAGTGTTCTGTGTTGTGGGCTGGGTGTGTGCTGAAGAAATAGTCATTCCCTGATTAAAAAAAAAGGTTGTATGTATGTGTACATACATGCTTAAATTTACTTCTCTGTATATCTGTGTTAAAAATCTAGAATTCACCTTAGCTTTTTTTAAATTTTATGTTAAGATTTTATTTATTTCTTTGAAAAAATGACAGCGAGAAAGGGAGAGACAGACTGACTGACTGCCCAGGCTGGGTCAGACTGAAGTCAGGAGATTCACGTGGGGTGGCAGGGGCCCAGTGCGTCATCTTGTACTGCTTTGCCCAGGCCATTAGCACTGTGCTAAATCAGAAGTGGAGCTTCCAGCTCATGAACCAATAGTTGTATTGTATGTGACCCTTGCACCCGGTGGCTCTACCTGCTACACCACAATGCCAGTTCTTCTATTTTGGCTTTTTAAATGCTTTTTTCAAACAATCAAAAACTTTTGTTACTATCAATATATTGTTTTACGCATACAGTAGTTTAAGAATGTTTATCTTTTTTTTTTTTTTTTTTTGACAGGCAGAGTGGACAGTGAGAGAGAGAGACAGAGAGAAAGGTCTTCCTTTGCCATTGGTTCACCCTCCAATGGCCGCCGTGGCCAGCGCACTGCGGCCGGCGCACCGCGCTGATCCGATGGCAGGAGCCAGGTGCTTTTCCTGGTCTCCCATGGGGTGCAGGGCCCAAGCACCTGGGCCATCCTCCACTGCACTCCCTGGCCACAGCAGAGGGCTGGCCTGGAAGAGGGGCAACCGGGACAGAATCCGGCGCCCCGACCAGGACTAGAACCCGGTGTGCCAGCGCCGCTAGGCAGAGGATTAGCCTAGTGAGCCGCGGCGCCGGAAAGAATGTTTATCTTCTTTAACCTTGTAGAATGCACTACCGGCTAGACTTCTTTTTAAGGGCAGTGTGATACAGAGAGAGGGAGTCGAGAAATCTTCCATCAGCTGGTTTACTCCCCAGTTGGCCTCAACAACCAAGACTGGTTCAGGCCAAAACCTGGAGCTTTATTTGGGTCTGCCACATGGGTGTAGGAGCCTGGTCACTTGGGCCATCCTTGGTTGCTTTCCCAGACATGTTAGTGGTGAGCTGGATTGAAAAGGAGGCAGCAGGAACTGGAACCAGTAACATATGGTATGTGTTGCAGCGGCAGCGTAACTTGAATGGCCACAATGACTGCCCCTAGCTAGATATTATCAGCCACGAATATAGATAGACACTGTTAATGTACAATTTGATGAGATTGACAGTTGTGCTCCTTTTGTAGCTTAGTTCTCTAAAGAAATAAATAAATACTGTTGTCATCTACTACACAAAGTAAAGAAGTACTCAGAATAAGAACACAAAGACCAGGCTAAAGGGGCTCTGCTGGGCCAAGTCTGGAAAATTTGAGAATCCAAATAAAAGTTTAGAGTAATTCATGGTACCCTGATGGATAATATAGAACTGTATAAGTTCTAATGTTATGAAGGAGCGAATGAATGAATAAGGGAGAAGAGAGAGTGGAATGCCAACCAATAAATACTGAAGGAATGATTGTTAGAAAATGATTAAGGGATGCTAAAAATTGGGCCATATGTTTGGTGAGGACTGGAATACTTAGGTAGTCTTAGAATATTTTCTTAAAAATCATTTATAATGGGAAAAATTTTTAGAGCTGGCACCCTGGCTCGCTTGGCTAATCCTCCGCCTGCGGTGCCGGCACCCCGGGTTCTAGTCCTGGTTGCTCCTCTTCCAGTCCAGCTCTCTGCTGTGGCCCTGGAGGGCAGTGGAGGATAGCCCAAGTGCTTGGGTCCCTGCACCCGCATGGGAGACTGGGAAGAAGTACCCAGCTCCTGGCTTCGGACTGGCGCAGCACCGGCCATAGCGGCCATTAGGGGAGTGAACCAACGGAAGGAAGACCTTCCTTTCTGTCTCTCTCTTGCTGTCTATAACTCTCTCTCTCTGTCTCTCTCATTGCCTAACTCTGCCTGACAAAAATAAAAAAAAAAATTTTTTTTGACAGGCAGAGTTAGAGTTAGACAGTGAGAGGGAGAGACAGAGAGAAAGGTCTTCCTTTTCTATTGGTTCAGCCCCCAAATGGCTGCTACAGCCAGCGCGCTGCGCCGATCAGGAGCCAGGTGCTTCCTTCTGGTCTCCCATGCGGGTTCAGAGCCCAAGCACTTGGGCCATTCTCCACTGTGTTCCCGGGCCACAGCAGAGAGCTGGACTGGAAGAGGAGCGACCGGGACAAAATCCAGCACCCCAACCGGGACTAGAACCCGCAGTGCCAGTGCCGCAGGTGGAGGAATAGCCAAGTGAGCCGCGGTGCTGGCCAAAAAAAAAATTTTTTTTTTAAACTTCTAGTCAGAAAACATGACAGATCCTGTCAAAACAGTAATCAGTCATTTCTACCACAATTGTATGATCACAAGCAAGGAACTCAGACATCAACCTCTATGATAATATTGCTGCTAGAGATACAGACTTGAATCAGATCATTAGAGTTTCGCAGACCAACTAAATTGAAACACTTTGTAAAGAGGTAATTTTTTTAAATTATTTATTTGGAAGATCTAGAGAGGAAAAGATGCATCTTCTATCGGCTGGTTCATTCTCCAAATGCTGGCAGCAGCCAATTGTGAGCCAGGTGGAAGCCCAGACAGGAAGTCCATTGAGGTTTCCTGCATGGATTGAAGGAATGTTGCACATCATTCCTGCCTCTCAGGTACATTAGCTGGAAGCCAGATCAGAAGCACAGAATAGCCACGATTCTAATCAGGCATTCTGATTAGGAATGTTGGCATCCCAAGCAGTGGCTTAACTCACTGTGCACAATGCCTGCCCCAAATTGAAAGGCAATCTACAAATAAAGTGGCCTATACTCTGGTATAGGAAGATTGATCAACAGTTCCAGATTAAAGGAGGAAAAAAGAAATAATAACAAAGTATAATGTTTCATCTTATTTTAAATCTAAGGGCTCTAATGATGATGGCCCCTCTCTGTTGCTCTGCCTTTTTATAAAATTTATTTTGAAAGCAGGAGTTAGATCTGCCATTAGCTGAATCACTCTCCAGAAGGCTGCGGTGGCCAGGCTAAAACAGGACCTTCATCCGGGTCTCCCTTGTAGGTGGCAGGCACCCAAACATCTGGGCCATCTTCGGCTTTTCTCAGGGCAGTAGCAAGGATCTGGATCTGAAGTGGAGCATTCAGGACTTGAACCATTGTCCATATGGGATATTCTGTTTATTTCTCTTTTTTCTATTTTTTTATAGGAACTTAAAAAATTTTTTTTTTTTTTTTACTTGGAAGAGTGACAGGGAGAGACAGAGGGAAGGAGGTCTTCCATTCACTCCATCACTCTGCCAAATGGCTGCAACAGCCAAATCTCAGCCAGGCTGAAGATTGGAGACTTTTTTTCCCTCTTCCTCCTCTCTTCACCGTACTCCTGTAGAAACAGTGTTTGAGCTCTCATTTTAGTGTTGATTCTGGCTATTTGTAAACATTGATTGT